ATTTAATTTAAATTTTTTATATATTAAAATTTTTCTAACACAAACACACATGCGCTTTAATTACTGTATGTGGTAATTTGTGGTGATGTATGTATGGGGTTGATTGTTCTTATGTAGTTTGTATGCTGCTTTGGCAATATTGTTGTTACACATTCATGCCAATAAAGCTAATTTGAATTGGAATTTGAGGGTGAGAGAGGGCAATAGAGGAACAGAGAGAGAGGGATGGAAGGAGAGAGAGAGAAGGGAGGGAGGCAGCCTACACATATCCACACAGAGGTACAGACAGTAAAGGTGATGTTGCTATAGACTAAATGAAAAATGGTACAGATATATTTATTAATCCCCCGGCAGTCTAGGCCCATAGCAGCATAACTAAGGGATGGTTCAGGACTCACCTGAGCCAGCCCTAACTATAAGCTTTATCAAAGAGGAAAGTCTTAAGCCTACTCTTAAATGTGGAGATGGTGTCTGCCTCCTGAACCCAAACTGGAACCTGGTTCCACAGGAGAGGAGCTTGATAGCTGAACGCTCTGGCTCCTAGTCTACTTTTGGAGACTCTAGGAACCACAAGCGCAGTGCTCTGGTGGGGTAGTAAGGTACTGTGAGCTCTTTAAGATAAGATGGTGCCTGACCATTAAGAGATTTGTAGGTAAGAAGAATGATTTTAAATTCTATTCTGGATTTTACTGGAAGCCAATGCAGAGAAGCTAAAACAGGAGAAATATGATCTCTTTTCCTGGTTTCTGTCAGAACATGTGCTGCAGCATTCTGAATCAGCTGAAGAGTCTTAATGGACTTTTTCGAGCAGCCTGATAATAAGGAATTGCAGTAATCCAGCCTAGAAGTAACAAATGCATGGACTAGTTTTTCTGCATCATTTTCAGACAGGATGTTCCTGATTTGCGCAATATTACGTAGGTGAAAAAAGGCGGTCCTTGAAATTTGCTTAATGTGAGACTTAAACGACATGTCCTGATCAAAGATAACTCCAAGATTCCTCACAGTGGTGCTGGAGGCCAGGGCGATGCCATCCAGGGAAACTATATCTTTGGATAATGCGTCACGGAGGTGCTTAGGCCCCAGAACAATAACTTCAGTTTTATCTGAATTTAACATTAGAAAATTACAGGTCATCCAGGTTTTAACATCCTGAAGGCACATTTGAAGTTTAGCAAACTAAAGAGTTTCATTTGGCTTGATCAATAGATATAACTGAGTATCATCTGCATAACAATGAAAGTTTATGGAATATTTCCTGATAATATAATAATAGGAAGCATATATAAAGTGAAGAGGATTGGTCTGAGGACAGATCCTTGTGGAACTCCATGAGTAACTTTGGCGTGCATGGAGGACTCATCGTTAACATGTACAAACTGAAATCGATCTGATAAATAGGACTTAAACCAGCTTAGAGCGGTTCCTTTAATGCCAATGAAATGTTCCAGTCTCTGCAATAGGATCTGATGGTCAATGGTATCAAATGCAGCACTAAGAGACCAGTACAGAGACAAGTCCTTTGTCTGATGCAATAAGGAGGTCGTTAGTAATTTTCACCAGTGCTGTCTCTGTGCTATGATGAGCTCTAAATCCTGACTGAAAATCCTCAAATAAACTATTGCTCTGTAGAAAGTCACACAGCTGTTTAGCAACTGCTTTCTCCAGGACCTTAGAGAGAAATGGAAGGTTAGATATAGGTCTATAGTTAGCTAAAACATCCGGATCAAGTTTGGGCTTTTTCAGAAGAGGTTTAATTACAGCTACTTTAAAGTACTGTGGTACATAGCCTGTTGATAAAGATAGATTGATTATATCTAGTATAGAAGTGCTGAGTAAGGGTAAAACATCTTTAAGCAGCCTAGTCGGGATGGGGTCTAAGAGGCAGGTTGATGGTTTAGATGAAGAAATTATTGAAGTTAGTTGGTAAAGATTGAGGGAAGCAAAACAGTCTAAACATATATCTGGTTCTACAGCTGTTTCTAAGGTTCCTGAGTTTAGAGATAAGTTGGTGCCAGTTGAGGGCAGGTCTTGGTGAATTCTGTTTCTAATAGTTAGAATTTTATCATTAAAGAAGCTCATGAAGTCGTAACTACTGAGAGCTATGGGAATACTTGGCTCAATAGAGCTATGACTCTCTGTCAGCCTGGCTACAGTGCTGAAAAGAAACCTGGGGTTGTTCCTATTTTCCTCTATTAATGACGAGTAGTACGCTGCTCTGGCATTACGGAGGGCCTTCCTATAAGTTTTAAGACTATCTTGCCAAATTAAACGAGAATTTTCCAGTTTGGTGGAACTCCAATTCCTCAAGTTTCCGCGATATTTGCTTTAATTTGCGAGTTTCAGTATTATACCATGGAGCTAACCGTCTTTGTTTTAGTATTTTCTTTTTTAGAGGGGCTACAGAGTCGAGTGTCATTTGCAGCGAGCCTGCAGCACTATCAACAAGATGATCGATTTGGGAGGGACTGAAATTAGCATAGGAGTCCTCTGTTACTTTGTGACTTGATAATGAATTTAGAGCTGATGGAATCGCATCCTTATATTTAGCTACAGCACTATCAGACAGACATCTTGTATAGAATCCAACGAAGGTTAAAATCAAGGGCAACTGGACTTGGTTGAAGATACTAGAAGACGTTTCGTCCCTCATCCAAAGGACTTCTTCAGTCCTGACTGACTGGCAGGGAAACTCAGCTATTTAACCTCAGTGGGGTCGTTGGCCCGGGTCATCGATACCGCTGGTTCGTTAGTGTTCCTTGTTGCTGTGACGACAGTCGTTACGGTCGTTAGGACTACCTGTGGCCAAGACTGAACGACCATCGTTGGTATCTTCACCTGAGGCCAATAGGTTACGTTTGTTGAGTTTCCTGGGAAGTGATGAAAGGACAGCATTGTAAGTGGGGGATAAGTGGTGGCGTAGACCCCCTCCCCTGTTCAATGACGGCTTCTCCACCCTGGTGTAGATGCTTCCTTGACACCTCTTTCAAACCATCCATCTTCTCTGTCTAAAATGTGCACCTGGTGGTTCTCAAACGAGTGTCATCTGTCCTTCAGATGTAAGTAGACTGCAGAGTCTTGACCTGAGGAGTTGGCCCTTCTGTGTTGAGCCATGCGTTTGTGTGGTGGTTGTTTAGTCTCCCCAATATACAGGTCTGTGCATTCCTCACTGCATTGGACCGCATACACTAGATTGCTTTTCTTGTGTTTGGGTGTGCGGTCTTTGGGGTGGACCAGCATCTGTCTTAGTGTGTTCTTGGGTTTAAAAAACACAGTGATGTTGTGTTTGTTGAAAATCCTCCTGAGTTTCTCTGATACTCCAGACACGTATGGGTCTCGCCTCCATGTCTACAAATAAACTACACTTATTACGCATACTATTACCGCTAAAGGAGGCAGAGGAGTAAGTAAACATCTGACACACCGAGCAGGAGAAAGTAGGAGAGAGAGAGGTAGGAGAAGCCATCACTAGCTGCTGAGCTAAAGTCGCTAACAGCTAAGCTAAAGTACTATAGCGTCAGCTACCAAAACTTTAGAACAACTATGAGATTGAACAGCAGTCACTAAAAGATGGAAAGAACTGTGAGTGCTTAGGCAAAATTACTGGAAGAATAAGTGTTTAGCGGACAGTTGGCTGCTGTAATCTAACAAATGTAACTGGTATTTAGCGAGAGCAGCACAACACGGTACCAACACACAAGCACCGGAAACTGAAGTGAGTTGACACGCTTACCGCAGTACGTCAGCAACCTCGTCACACCCGCCTTGACGGTAGAAGAAGGGCGGTTTCCATATTATAAATATTCTCGTCTGGATATTTTTTGAACACTTTATTCACTGCCGATAACCTTGCTCTGGTGTCAGTATTTGTGTACAAGCTGTCAACGTCCATCTGAAAAAATGGTAAGTATCTTTGACATATGATGCATGTCTGACTGACAAGGGGTTCAGATAGTAATCGATATATTCCGCTGTCCTATACGTTTCGCTACTGCAGTCCGAGACAATGGACCTACCCGGAGGCACCTCAAACGGTTTACTCCATTTGTCCGGTTCTTTGTGGATCTTGGGTAAAATGTAGAACCTCTGTTCTCTCAATTGAGCGTCTCCTTTTAAATATTGCTTTTGCTTATTGTTAATAAATCCTTTGCTTTTTAAAGTCTCCAATATGTCATGCACCAGTGGGATGGATTCTAAATAGATTGGTCTTTCCAATTTCTTGTAATCATTTTTATCTGTTAACTGGCGATGCACCTCTGTGATATTGTTCCCTCCCTAAAATTACCACTGAGCTCCCTTTGTCAGCAGGTTTAATTACAATCTGTTGGTTATTCATCAGTTCCGTGAGTGCTTTCACCTCCTCTTGTGATAGATTTTGTTTTTCTTGATGAAACCTGAAAAACCATTTGAAATCCTTGTTGTCTTTTTAAATGAATGAATGGATTTCTGGTAGCAATCTGTACGGTGGTGGTGTCCAGTTTGGAGGTTAGACAGAAATTCTGTCCCCACAAAGTGGCGTCAGAATGATGCACAGTCCATTGAACCGACTCTGAGCTCAGACGTGGGACAACATCCACCCAACACGGGTTAGGGATAGAAAGGTCTGATCCTAGAATCGCCCCTGGTAAGGAGTATTGCTGTATCTTCTATTGTCGCGCTTGCTTGATGTTTGGCTGTGTCAGTAAAGTAGTCGATTTGCTAGTTTGTCATCGTTATGTAATCATAACAAATGCACACATACAGCTGTCCTTATTTACGATAGTGGTGAATTACATAGCGTTGCTTTATCCATCATAGTGTGAAAAACTGTTTCGCTGCCTCGCCTGCTATTCCAAAGAATTCTGTTTTTTCTAATCCGACAAATATTTCAATTCCTGCCACAACAAGCACACAAGCTAGAATTCTTTGGAATACCACTCCTCTCAGGTAGTGATTGCACAATGAGCCACAGAATCTCTCCTCTATATAAAGGCTGCTTATGTGTGGCAAGAACAGCAGAATCCAGCAGATGAGTTGACTTCTTACTGCCTAACATTCCCTGTCAGCAGATATGTAAGTGTTTTGAAGAATGTTTTATTTTCTTGTTATGGACCTGACATTTTTAAATGTCAGATCTTAATTGATTATATTCAGTGTAAATAGGGTAAATGGGTAATTATTCATTTTATTTTATTAGTCATTATGGTGATCCACTTGACAACTGATATTTTAGTTTGTCATTGTTTTATTGGAGCTCATCTGAAAAGGCATGCTGCTAACTTTTTCTGTTCTGCTTACCCATGATTTATCTGTCTTCTATGCAGTTACCTACAATGGCCAACAACATCACACACCTTAATGTGTCTCTTGATGAAGCCGAGGAGCAAATGCTCCAATCACAAGGCTTCAAGAAAATCAATGTAAATCTGAACAAAGGGGCAGGAGGAAACGTTATCTATATTTGGTACAAAAAATTAAGCAACTCAGCCCCCATCACCAGAGTTCAAGTTTCATTCAATGATGAAATGGCAGTAGGATTGGCCGAGTCAGGTTACAAGAAGATCCCTAAAGACCTAAATGCTGGAGCAAAAGGTAATCGTCTCTACCTTTGGTACTTCAGAGGCAACTCAAAGTACGATACTCCCATAGTGGACATTGATATCACTACAGATGCAGCAGGGGAAGCTCGCAAGTTTTGCCATGGCTGGGAGAGACTGGTCTGTGATCTGAACCGCAATGTTGGAGGGAGCCGGATCTATGGCTGGGTGAAGAGAAAGACGCAAACGTACATCTGTGATGTCACTGCCACTGATTGCTACACGTCAGACAGCGACTACTTTCAGGAAGGTTACATCCGTATGGATGAAGATACCAATAGAGGTGCAGGGGGAGCCATTGTCTTCATCTGGTACCGCCAGACCACTAACCCCAAGACTGCACTCACGGATCTGCAAATCTCCACCAATGGCACGGAGTATCAGGAACTTCAGCAGCAGAATTACACGGCAGTGAATGTTAACCTCAACGAGGGGACCGGAGGTAACAAGGTGTACCTGTGGCACACGACAGAGGGAGACAACAATCCCATTGAGGGCAGCACCCTGCTTCTCAACCCAGCTGCTGTTCCACTGTATGAGAAGGCTGGTGCCACTGTCGTCAAAAGAAACATCAACGCAGGCAATAAAGGCAGCACTGTGTACCTGTGTGTTAATAATGTTAAAGGCTGAGGAAGTTTTTCCACTCACTGAAGTGGGAAAGCACAGTCCAACAATGTTGCTAAATCATTTTGGTGGTGGCCTCTTTAACTATTTTCTCTTTTTGACAATATATAACAAGTTGATTAATTCTCTAACAGTTCTACTAATGGTAATATCAGAAAGCATCAGTGGTATATGGGTTCTTCTGTTAAACTTGCTGTCACATAATCACATAAACTATTTGAAATGGTTTTTTCTACAGTGATGTTAAAGAATGTTTGATAAAGTTCCGAACTGTGGTCATTTTCAGGGTTTTACCTTTATAATTTTGGGTGTCTACTAGAAAATGTTTACAATGTCAAAATAAGATCTACACAGTTTCTCATTGTCATACATTTCAAATGCCTTCTAAAAGCCTTGTGTCTGTCAACACTGTAATAAAGTTTGACTGTGAAACAGAAAAAATGTCTTGTGTTTCTTACAGTCACTATTTACTACCTGTATTAAAGGATTACTAGAAGAAGAGTACACAGCAGGAAGATTTGGTTGAAATATTATGACTTTATTCTCATTAGATTGCAATTTTATTCCCATAATATTACACCTTTTGTCTCTAAACATTACCAAGTTCTTCTGCAATCAGAAATCCTTCTGAAACACAGGAGCTGTTAAAGTCCAGGGGTTTATAACTGAATTAAAATGAACTGATTAATCATTGGTGCCACATGCACATTTAAAGAGGTTGCTTCAGTCATGCTGACATTATTTGGTAGAATCAGGAAGAACCTATTTAATACGATGTAAGTTTACAAGTCACGGTGATGAGTGCTCAAAATGATCATTATAATAATAATAATCATCATTATACTATGGCATTATGCAGCTTTCTTTCCAGCTGTTTGAGGTCAGTGGCAAAGACTAGAACTAGGGAGCATTTACAATTACAGTGATGACAGAGCACAGAACGTCAATTACAGCTGTAATTTCCTGGCAGAGCTGGAGCCGGTCGTTAGCGTCGTTACCGGTCTTCATCTGAAAGGCATCTTTTCAGACTCCTCTACGGTACATTCAGTCTTCATCAGAAGTGCTGGAATCCAAGTCAGCTGCATCGTATTCTGACATCTCGTCCTCCGACGAGTCCATTTCCAGAAGTGGTTGGAGGCTGAGGATTCTCCTGTAAAAGCCCTTGACTGTGATCATTTCTGCTTTCAGGCATCAGCTGACATTTTGCCAGCCTTTTAGATAGAGGACAAACAAAGGAGAAAAGTCTGAGGAAAATAAGATTTGTGTATGTGTAACTCACCATAAACACTAACTAATAAACATTGCATGCATCTTCATTAAGCTTGGCAAAATTGAAAAGTCACTCTTCCGAAGCGCCCTGTTCTTTCATCAAGCATTTTGATGTACGCCTTAAGTGACACCCCGGGTGCGGCCATCTTAAGGTCACAGAAAGACATCGGTGGTATACAGGGTGCAGAAATTCATGGTGCCAGGCCAGTATCCACCATGTTAGGCAACAGCTGGTGCAACTCACAACTGGCAATACAAGGCTGTAGCGGCCTGTAGGGAGCATTAATTCAAATGAATAAATGACATAATACTGTTCATTTACCTCAAGAGAAGAAGGAAACAGACCTTTGATTCTAATTCCCTCTTTCTGACAAGGTTAAATGGTTATAGGAAAACACATTGTGCATTACAACAAAATAGTGCTTGGATGGTACATCAACACACACACCCACAGTGAAATTGGGCTAAACCACTTGCATGATGAGTAATCATGACAACAAGAAGGAAGGGAGGTCAGTGCGCATGTGTACTTGGAACAGTACTTGGAATATACCCGCGAGAAACCGTGATGTGCGTGCAATTCTCAGCGGCACAAGACTGGCAAGCGAGCAGAGCGGATAGAAAACTGTCAACAATGAGCCTCAGTTTAGCTGTAAGTGTACAGGGTAAGTTGCAGTGACTAAATAATAGAGACTGCAACTCTGCAGCCTCTCCAGATTAAAGCGAAGCCACAATGTGTAAATGTCCACGTACCATTTATGGTTATGACAGCCAGATTCCTGCCAGGTGACATATGAATGTTGCCTGTTGAACAGCCACACACACGATCCGGTCTCTGCATAGGTAACAGCCGTGCTATCAAAAAAATGAAAATGTCTATTGTTTAGATACCCAAAAAAGCACACACTGATGCATTACACAGAGAACATTTGGTTTCTTAATGTGAATCCAGTAACAGGAATAGCTCATGTTTCATACACAGTAAGGCACAATACTTGGAAATGGCCTTACCCAACTCTGACAAAGGCTGCAAAAACCCTCCAGTTAGTGACTCTCTGTTGTGCAAAACAAAGCGTGTGTGAACACCAGTATCACAGTCCTCACAAAGGAACGGGAAAGGCGGGCAGTCCAGACCCCTCACAACAGCTTGCTCGCAACACTGGCAGCCACAATGTGGATGTGGATCTTGGGTAGCCAGCGTATTTTCAACAAGAAGTGGCCTGGCCTCTTTCCACGTTTGTGAGGACACTTTGTTTCTGATCTCCCAGTCAGTAGCAGCCGACTCAGGTGACGCCTCACAAGTCACTGCTGTATCCTCTAATGGACTGTCTACTCCATCGCCTACTCCATCCTCAAGCAGCTCAAGGAGCTCCTGACGAAGCACCTCAGTTTCAGATGCTAACAAAATAAATAAACTGACATCAAAATGACATCCAAACTAATTCAAAGTATAATCTATCCAGCCAATTACAATACACCATGCTTTAGTTATGTACCTTTTGTTAGGTTGACACTGGCGACAACATCAGTCGGTGCCGCACATCTGGGCTGTTCTGTGTTAACAATAATTCTTGGAAGGAAATACAGACATGCAGGCTTTAGAAAGGAGACGATTGGTTTTCAGGACAATTCTGAGTATTTCAGTAATTCAGTCTTTATTAGTTTTTCATTAATCACAAAATGTGTTTTTGCTTTACCTGTGCGTTGATGCTGCTTGGTAGTTGGCGCTGAAAACGACAAATTTAGTAATGGACCCTAACCATTTCCAAAGGAGAAATAAAAGTAGGACTACTAACCAGATGGCATTCTACTGGTTTTCCTACTGGATGAAGGCCTTTTAGGAATAACAACCCCATGCCTGTCGCGCTTCTTCCATTGGACAGGGGTTGGGTTGTGTTCCCTCTGTGCCCACAGCATGCTGATTGGACAAGAGGAGCTGCTGCTGTTTCTTTCTCTCCTGCCCAGTCTCAGTTGTCTCAACAGGACTGGTGTCCACATGTGGCTCTGGGGGTGATCATCCCTTATAATGAGTCGCCCACTCGCACCTCAAAGAATATCCGTGAGGACGTTTAACCTACAGGGCTGCCTCGCTTTAGGCACTAAGGCTTCACGTCCACTCTGAACTACGGTCCAGAACTCGGTCACTCTCAAAGGTCTGAGGAGGTCCGGCCTGACTTTGTCTGTGAAACTCTGCGGCACGTGGAGGAGGGGCCACAAGGATTCGGAGCGATCAGGTGGGCAGGTGTGCTCCTCAGCCAGCTGGACTCTGAATGATCCTCTGATCCAGAACCAGAGGAATGATGAGCAGATGAGAACACTGCGTCTGAACATCCCGCTGATTCCTTTTCTTGTAACTGACCCACGGCTGATAAAGACCCGTGGGGACCTCGACACCTTTCTGATAGTATTACTCAGAAGCAGCATCAGTGAATCAAAGTCCAATCTTTCCAGTCTGGTGGGACTCTTCTGCCCCTTTTCCTTCTCTGATCCCTCCCTCAGCTGAGCTTCCTGTTTGAGGTTGAAACTTTCTGTACTCTGAAATCATAGTTCACTCTCATGAAAGCACAACATCCCTGTCTCCTGTTCTTATGAAGATAATAATTAGGAAGTTCATTTTAAAATGAATTCACTGTGGTACTCTGTGTAATCTCTCTTCAGGAGTACGTCTGTACAGTTTTTCACATATTAAAACATCAGAGCAGAATTAAACCTTCATTCTTTTCTTCTGGTGGTTCATTAAATCTGAAAGGTTTTCTCTCTCTTTGTTCCTGTTTCCTTTTCTGTCTGGTTTGTTTCACAGATTAACATGAATTCATTCCTACACTTTAATCTGAGTCTTTTTCAGATCGTCACCAGTTAACTCTCCATCGCAGCGGCGAGTGGATCCGGCCTCGGCCCTCGGGTCCTCCGTCTCGGCCCTTGGGCCCTCCGTCTCGGCCCTGTTATATGGGGGACTGAGGCTGAAGGTTCCCCTCCAGGATGTGCTCCGTCAGAAACCCTCACTCGGGCCATCACGTCCTCGCCGCCAAATTTTGTGGAGGAAATCTGAAAATAAAGATTGTCTTTATGGGTTTTATTAAAGCTTCTGGATCAGGCAGAGCGTTCAGCACTGGCTGACAAATAAGATTTCTGCCCCGCGGCATTTTTCTTTGCAAATGGCCCGAGATGGTTCTCGTTTGTTCAAATGATCAACAAATGAATCAGTCTTTATAAGCATGTTGTTTCATCTTCAGACTCCTGATTTATTGAGCGGCTGTTTCTGTGCCAATAAAGTGTATTTATCTTTAACCTTGTTCTTCATACTGGTCCAATCATTAGTGGAAATTGATTGACTTGATGATTCAGCTTCTAAAAACACTCTGTCATCCTTCTAATGGAAGAACTCCTCTAGGAAATGTGGGGATTTACAGTCATGCAGGGTCTCTGTAGTTTCTCTTTCACTTTGGACAGGTATAAATATCAGCCAGCAGACAGCATCAGGGTCACTTCACAGCTCGGTCCTGGTCTCAGTCGGATCCCTGAGGAAGATCAACAAGAGACTCTGAGGCTCCACAGCAGGTAGGACGTCCTCCTCACTGAGAGACGGACTCATGGGCTTCATCTTCATCAGTTCCCCCCCAATCTACTTCTCCCCCTTGGTTTTTACCCCATTGATGCTGTATGTGCTAATGACTCTTACTAGTATTTATTGCCACTTGAAGAGCTCCTACTTTACTGATGCATGTCCATGATCCTCAGCAGACTGCCTTTAATTTGCTAAACGCAGCCATGGTAACAGATGTTTTGCCACTCAGTCCAGCGTGTTGTGACATCAAAGCATACCCTCTAAATCAAA